AGTTCTCCTATATATAACAAGTTTAGTATGTACATCAGTATGTACATTCTCCAAACTGTTCTAAATACACTTCCCATGGTACATATCTATAGAGTCGTCTCTAACTTGGTGTTTAATTCTCATTAGTGTGGGCAGGCACCAAAAGGAAAGAGGACACACGAGCTCTTCTCTATATAACAATACATTCAATGCCACATCAACACAGTCATCTCTACACTCATCTCCTCTCACATAATTTCTTAATGTTATTGGTGTGGGCAGGTAGCAAAAGGAAAGAGGATCCCTTAGCTTTTTCGATGAATACAATTGACCTTTTAACATACCTTATCTGAATAGTTGACATCAGCTCCAATTTTTACATGGAACCTCAACATGTCAATATGACCTTTCTCTGCTGCCAACTGGAGCGGAGTTTTCCCACACTAATAAAAATTATTAAAAATCGTACAATAAAAGTTTCACTAATTTTAATGACAAACAGTAACCCCTTACACCCTAACATCAGTATACATATTCTCCAAACTGTTCTAAAGACACTTCCCATAGTACTTACAAGGACATCTTGTCTAACTATCAACAGCTTCTTGAGTTTATGATCATTTCCCTAAGTCTCAGGACCTTGCTGTCTGATTTGTGGATAATACCGTTAGGAAAAGTTAGATGCTAGTCACTTTTAGGGTTCAAAAGGATAAATTAGATTGAAAGGTTGAAATATTTATTTGATCCGAACTTAAACCCTCTATCTTGAGCTTCAATTTTCTCTAAAGCCAATCTCTCTTTCTTCTCCATCTTATATCACCAACTAAGTTTTTTAACTGATATTGATTTGGGCATGCACCAAATGGAAAGTTGACCATAACAATTCATCTTAAGCAACATCAACATATCTCTAGAGTTGTCTCTAACTAAGTGTTTAATTGATATTGGTTTGGGCAGGAAAAAGAAGGAATGAGGACACCCGAGTTCTCCTATATATAACAAGTTTAGTAGGATAACTCCCAAGCTCAATTAAAGTATTAAATTTTAATTACAAAGAGAAACCCTTTACACCCTAACATCAGTATGCATTTTCTCCAAACTGTTCTTAATACACTTCCCATGGTACATATCTATAGAGTTGTCTCTAACTTGGTGTTTAATTCTCATTAGTGTGGACAGGCACCAAAAGGAAAGAGGACACACGAGCTCTTCTCCATATAACAATTCATTCAACACCACATCAACATATCTCTACACTCATCTCCTCTCACATGATTCCTTAATGTTATTGGTGTGGGCAGGTAGTAAAAGGAAAGAGGATCCCTGAGCTTTTTTGATGAATACAATTGACCTTTTAATTATGACCTTTTAATTATGACCTTTTTTACCTTTTAATTGACCTTTTAATTACAAACAGTAACCCTTTACACCCTAACATCAGTATGCATATTCTCCAAACTGTTCTAAATACACTTTCCATAGTACTTACAAGGACATCTTGTCTAACTATCAACAGCTTCTTCAGTTTATGATCATTTCCCTACGTCTCAGGACCGTACCGTTTGATTTGGGGATAATACGGTTAGGAAAAGTTAGATGCTAGTCACTTTTAGAGTTGAAAGGGATAATGTAGATTGATCCAAACTTAAACCCTCCATCTAGAGCTTCAATTTTCTCAGAAGCCACTCCCCTTTTCTTTCTCCCTTTTATCACTAAAAAAGTTTTTTAATTGATATTGGTTTGGGCAAGCACCAAAAGGAAAGAGGACGCCCGAGTTCTCTAACAGGGCTCAAAATCAACGGTAACCCGTTAACCAATGGTTAGTAATTTTCAACATTCGGTTACTAAAAATGTGTCCAACTAACCCGACATGGTTAGTAAAATTTTCTACCATATTTAAATTATGTTATAGAAATAGGCTGCTGCTTTTTACAAATAAATAATAAGTTTTGGGAACGGTTTATGTGTTATTTACTTGCATTAGCCTGTTTTCTGTCTGAAACAATTTGTTCTTGCAGTCTTTAGGATTGAATTGAGCTTTACAGCCATGTTGAGCGGAAGGCCCTGAATGCAAATTTGTGTTAAATGTGGGGATCTAGATGCAACTTTATCAGACCGCTATGTTGCAGATCCTTATTCGCACCAAAATATTATTGTTCACAAGGTTCTGGCAGTTCAGCACTGAATTATGCAGAGTTCTTTAATTATGGTAAATGAGAGTGAATTAAAATAGGTGCATAATTGTCAACATTTTTAAGGTCACCATGCAATTTCAGCCGCTCTTTATTTTGTCCTGGTTGTTATTAACAAAATGTTCAGTACTTGAGAAAGTGTAACTTGTGAGCTTGGATATATACCAAACTTTATAATTTGGTTCGTAAAAAAGATGTCTACTAACCCAAAGGGTTAATGATCCAAAAATTCAGTTCGAGCTATGTCCTATATAAAACGATTCATTTAAAGCAACATCAAGATATCTCTAGAGTCATCTCTGACAAGGTGCTTTAATATCATTGGTGTGGGCAGGCAGCAAACGGAAGAGAGGACCCCTGAGCTTTTTTGATGAATACAATTCACCCTTTGACATACCTTGTCTGAATGGTTGACACCAGCTCTACTTTTTACATAGAGCCTCACACTGTTCATAATGCATATAGTTTTTGGATGAAGAAAACACAAAAGATCGCCTCCTTCCCTTTAACATTGCTGAAAACTCTTTAAAACAACGATCGAGTTCGCTCTTATGCTAAACCACGCGAGCATTAGCCCAACGCCTTCCCAGTTAGGTACAATTCGTTCTTTTAGATTTGATCAAATAGAAAAGACAATATAAACCAAAAAGCCTTACCTAGAACAACAGCTTACTCCTCGGAGAGTCTGCCAAAGCTGAAAATTATGAAAAACTGCTCTACCAGCATCCAAACTTTCCGAAGGCAGGAAAACAAGGGATAGAAACGAGGGACGTACTTTTAGAAACGAGAGAAGTACGTAAATTCGCGAGGTTTAAATCTAGTTCCTCACCAGTCTTTTTCTCAGCATTACATTCTACAAACCTTCTCGGTCGAGAGGGACTGAGATGGAACGATGGACACCTCATGACGTATTATGAAGCTACGAAAACATTCCGATTTATCCCGATGACTTGAGTGGAATATTTGTTTGGAAACTTGCGTCAAAACTTTACAACCGAGAAATGGTAAGTACTAATTTATTGTTTGATGGTAGTATTATAAAACGTTTCGCGCAATTTTAGACAGATACTTCCAATATTCAAAAGGTGCCAAGGTATTTGGTAGTTCTGGTGGATGTCAGGCGTGGACATCCACCAAAACAGTGATCAAAACCAACAAGAGTAATTTTTGAATTTTATCTATGGCCAATGTTAGACCTTCAAGGAAGCAAAAGAATTATATTCCACAAAACATTAGCAGTTTACGTTCTGGCTAATTATTTCTTATAATGCACAATTGCTGACCAAACGTTCATAATGACATCATAAGACATGAAATTTGATTAAAGTGGTTTTGGTGGATGTTTCTCTCTCCATCCACCAAAACCACCATGACAATTTCTGTCACTTCCATCAGAGAGGAATGGTTTAACCTGCTACTGGAGTAAATAACCACAATTTATTTCTTTGTACATAGATATTTTTGCAAAGTTCTTAAGTCAGCAGCTTTTATTATTGAAACCATAATCATCACTTGGTGTTCAATGTAGAAAACAAAAGGTTTTGGTGTGGCAATCATGTACTCTTGAAATATGATAAGAGAGAGTTTTTAACTGATTTAACAGATGTTTGCAACAAAATTCCATATCCAGAAGTTTCTTCCTCTACTTCCTCTGAAATCATTACCTTTAAATACTACAAATCAGAACATCAGTAATTGTTATCAGGGGTCTGAATATCTTACAAATCTTTCACATTGATTTCAAGTAACCTATTTCACATGGATGATTAATTATACGATCAAGATGTAGAATAGCTCACATTTTACAAATTATTTCCCCTTTTAATTTATGGATAGACAGTGAAAGGCCTTTGCCACTTTGGTAAATGTTTAGNCACAGTAATCATATTTTCATTAATAATTCAGTGATGATTTCGTTGTTTATGAATTGTACCCCGATTTCCCCGAGACCGAAATCAAAACCCTCTCCGGGCTTTTCAGAACGATCATTCTATACCGGCTATAAAGGTTCATACACGTGATCGATTTGCCTCGTGTGATAGGCTAATAAACTCATAAATTATTCATGAGTTTTTGAAGATAAGCTTAATTTTCAAAAATTGTTTCTACATATATGATAAAGAACACTACTTGGCTGTAGCAAGAACTTCTTCCTAGGGCAGGTCCATTTTTAAGCTGCATATAATTCTAGTAGCGCAGCAGTGTAATGCATCAAGCGTGTCGAAAAGCTTTGCCTGTTCTGCCTAAAAGATATTGTATACAGAATAGATGGCAAAATAGCCTTATGATAGAGAGATTCACAAACACTTCTGGGCAAAAACCGGGATTTCTGTTTATTTAAGAAACATCTTATGATGCATATCAGGTCTGATACCCAATTCAAATCATGATCCAGAGCAACACCATGAAGCCTTGTCTTCACATAGCAATTTATGATAACCTTTACAATAAAAAATAGAGGGCAGTATTCTGATAAATCTCACATTATTCTGGGTGTGGAGACAGCCGGTTGTTGACAAACAGTGTGAATAGTTTTCAGGCAAGGGGCTAAAGTAGAAGACAGCAGTGCAAACAGCACATATATACCCTTCACCAATTGTTAAAAGCAGAGTAGTCACGAAGACATCAATTAGTGATTTGAAAAGGGGTGTTGCAAGGCGGAGTAGGTCAGTGCTGTGATTGTGTTCACCATGTCAAACACATAAACAATATTCAACAACTTTAACTGTTGCTAATTTTTTAATTTTCTAACTTGAGCTTCAGAGATCTGACCTGGAGATAGTTTGACTTAACTATTTCTAATGAAATTCAAATGAGCTGATATCATACCCTGTCAGCTTTGTTAAAATCCGCTCCCTTCACAAAAAGCCATTTTACAACGTTGAGGTGACCCTTTTTCAAAGCCAACATCATTGGGGTATTACCACACTGAGAACGAAAAAAAAATTATAAAATAGATATTCAAACTTAATACTGTTAACTAGATCTGCACTGAAAATGCCAAAACACTCAAGTTAATGCAAGTTGGCAAATAATTAAGTTCTAATTAGTTACTAATTAATCATCAATCGAAACCAACCAAAACCAACCCCCAACCCAAACTAACCCCCAACCCAAACTAACCCCCCAACCCAAACTCTCCCCCCCAACATCAATCAAGGTATTCAGTCAATCTAAATTTTTTTCAGCTCCCTACAATTAACTTTGTCCATTCCTATCACCTCCTACTACTTTTAATACAACTAACCAACTTTCAACTATATATTATGACTACCCTGATTCATCCTAACATTCCTTATTATTATCATTAAATTTTTGTACTGCCGTGTGGTTGATTTGGCTGCTTTGCAGTTTGTTGGTCCCTCAATGCTAGTACCCAATTTAATAACTAATCATTTGTATCTTGACTCTCTGCCTTGTGGTTGAAGTAGCTGCTTTGCTATTTGATTTTTATCTACTAATCATTTTTATGTTTGCTCTGCCATATGGTTGAACCGGCTGCCTTGCACTTTGTAGGTCCCTCAACTTAAGTGTTCAACTTAACAACAAACAATTTTTTAAAGAGAAATGTAATCATTTGTCTCACAATGTAGATGTGGATCACAACGATTTGACTGCCTACTGCTAGTCTTCTTCAAGTGATGGGGTTGAGTCCCTGTTAACCTTGTTAGGGTGAGGTCATATTTGAATTTCCTCTTTCACCTAGTGTGTGTAGAAATGGGGAACATGATCAATAAACTTTACTTCACTCCACAGTGGGCGTGCTTCGAGATGGCAAAGGTTAGATATCCCTGTTGCGTTCCTTGATTCCCTCGTACATTGGTCTGCCAGTTTTGCTGATGTAAACCTTTCTGCACTCATAGAGAATCCTGTAGACTACAACATCCTGTCAACAGCGAAATTGAAATCTCAGACGCCTGGATGCCCACAATAAAAGAAAACATGACAACAGAAGAGCTGTGAAGCACCGGACCATAAAGGGAACCTGATCTGAAAGATGCACCAATAACAGCCATGGAATTCCATCCAATCACAGTTGAGCACAACAGCATATAGGTGACCTCATCACCAGAAGACTAGCAGTATGCAGTTGAAACGTCGCAATCCATATTCCAAGTGACCACATCGTGAGACAAACAATTGCAATTCTCTCTTTACTGTTACTTACCATGATGAATAACCACAACTAATTTTATAAAATAAACAATTTTATTTTTAATTATTTCTTAGTTACAACACTTCTAAAGCACACCTCTCCTTTCCCCTTCTTAACCCACTATTTTTGTGGAGATTTAAGAACCTTTTACTAGGGATTCCACACTTTAAATTTACACGTAATTTCGCAGATATTGCTAGATAAGTCCATTCCATTTTAAAAAAGAATATAATTTTATCTTATGTAGAAACAACTTAGTTGCTCTATTGATATTGGTTTGGGCAGGCACCAAAGGAAAGATTACCCCTGGGCTTTTTCAATGATTACAAATGACCTTTAGATATATTGCCATCAGCTCCAATTTCTACAAGTAGCTCTCCAAGTAGCTCCACAACGTCATAACGACCATTTTTAGAACCAACAGGAGTTAAGTTCCAACACACTAATAAAAAATATTACAAATGGTATAACCCAAGCCTCACTAATTTTAATCACAAACAATAATGCAGATTGTTTGTGGTTAAAATTATTCAAGTACCTGACGACAATACTACAACCGCTAACCGACAAATCCAGACATAAACTACAATCCACTGAAGACTTCATTAACGCTACCAAGACTGTTCAGATACCTGACGACTACAAACTAGTGTCATTTGATGTGAATAGTGATCTTCTCATCAAGGGGTTGAGATATTCCAGCGACCTATAGAAATAAAAAACTCGAACTGTGAAAATGCTCGCTATTTCAAGTGGGAACGCCCTAGTAATACACACCTATACGTTATTTACTCCGTTGCCATTTTTTTTTACTGTGTGAATGTTTGAAATTGTACTTTAACAACAACAAGGAAAACAAAATCATGGCAAAAAATGTACAGGCACTTTTATTTCACACTTTGACCGGCTTGCCCCCCGCGTACTTTTTTTCATTGACCGTTACATTAATTCGTGTTGAACACTTAGTTACCTTGCCAACGAAGGGATTCTGATTATCTGTAATGAGAGTTAGTTCAATGTAAATCGTTCTTTCGTACTTAGCGATCCCTTGTAAAGGTTTTCGAAAATTTCTAGACGCAGTCTCCCATCTCTTTTTGCTCTCTTCTTGAATATGAAAGACGAAAAATCATACATTTGAAGGAAAAAAATGGCTGCCTTGTAACAGTAAACTGAATGCCTCTGATGCAGTGCACAAATAAGCTTTTCCCGCTGCTTCAACTCAACTTTTCTGTCAGGTTTTAAAATTGATTCACGGCGTTTATGTGGATGAAAAGACAACTTGGTGCTGGCAGTGTGTTAGCTTTTTTTGACCACACTAACGTCTCAGACACAGAGAAAAAACATCAGGAAGCTCGAAGTGTCTTGAATAATCCAAAACGAGACCACCTTTCGTTCCAGTCAATAAGCCGGTGACTACGTAGCGGGAATTTTCGACAGTGATAACGCTTACCGGATTTATCAGTGTTCTGTCAATACATGAGTGGAACTACTCTGTGCTCTGCAAAAAATAAAATTTCTCGCATTTTTATCTGTACTTTGTAGTCAAACTTCCGCGTGTCTTGAACGAGAAATCTTCTTTTCTTGAACACGAAATCTTTGTGACCAGCCTTCTGTAAAAGATAAGTATATCAGCGTAAGATGAGTGATAGTACATTTCTCAAGCTATATAATTTTTTGGAATGTGAAGAAATAGAAGTGTCATTGCGCGATGCTTGTAAGATAAGGAGCCGACATGCGACAGCTGGATAGAAATAAAAAAGCGTAGAATTGCGTTTATTTTCTCTTTTGTCAACAGCGTACGTCAGTGAAAGGTTTTTATAATTGGTAAGTTCTAAACCATCTTCAATTTAGCCGAGATTGAAGTGTTATCGCGTTTGTCATAAAAGTATTCTGAGATCAATGTCATATGACCCAGTGATCGATGTGTATCTGATCTTTCGGGTTCAAAAGCCATAGGTGAC